TCCTGGGCCTGGGAGTTCTGTATTTTGGCCGTGACATTCCTGAGAGTTTTCATTTGGGAGGTTCTTTCAGCAGGTGACTGGTGGATTCTATCTATTTCCACATTGCTCAGCCTAGCGCATCCAATCCACACTGCTTATCTTAAGTTGGAGCTTCTTCATCAATTAGCCTTACTCATAGTAATATCATTATTCCTCCTAATGTCTAACTCCTCATCTCAGGTTTTTCGGTCTAGCCCTCAAAATCTATCTAGTTCTAAATATGGTATTTTAGAGTTAGAAAGGCTTTTAGAAATCATCGGGTTCCTGCTCAAACAATTGTACTACTGTTTCTACAAAAATCATTTGCCCTTCCTGGAATGTTCACTCTCTTTTTTTTTTTTTCAGTCCATGACAGCCTCCTTCCTTCAAAACCTGACTCAAAACCTACCTCCTCTAAAATAGCTTTCTAGATTAAATCCATTTCATTCAGCATCTTTTAGGTATCTAGCTTGAATATTTGTACTGTTTTGCCTTGAAATGTGTTCATGTTTTACAGAATGCTGCAGTAGAAAGAGACATGAAATCAGAAGACCTTACTTTGAATCTTGGCTCTATAACTTAAATGTGTAACCCCGGGTAAATCATATAATCTCTCTGGACCCTATTTTCCTCCTCTGTAAATTGAAGACATTGGTTTAGATGATCTCAGAGGTCTCTTCCGACACTGAAATATTCTGATATGATATCAGTATTATCTTTTCAATTAAATGTTTCTTATACTATAAATTCAACTTTAAATTTTATCAAAGACTGATTAAGCACTTATTATATACAAAGTACTATTCTCCTTTTCATTTAATACATTGTTTTTTGCCCAGTGTATACTCCATAAATGTTAATTAACTCATTGTTGTCCCTATAATTTCAGTAACTATAAGTAATGGGGGGAAAGCATTTTGAAGTACCATATGTGCTCATAGCAATCTCTGAAATTATATCCAGGTGTCATTTCTTCTTAGAAGGTAGTGGGATCCCTCTGGGCATTACTCTGCTCCAGATATTGGTACCATCTCTAAGGAAATTGGGGATCTAAAGACGGGAAGTATCCAGAGAAAATCCTACAAGAATCCAGCCTATCAAACATTCATTGACCCAAATGTTAACCCAAAAAGACAACTAATGAAAAATGACTGAATAATACAACAGGATTGAGTTTCCTTATACATCACTTGTGAGAAAATGACCCGTAAAAGCCACCAAAAGATCAAATATCTCTCCCTGACAACTGCCAACCTCATCAGAACTTAAACAAGCTAATAAGGACTTTATTATTCAGAAGAGTAAAAACTAAGACAATGGAAAGCATTAGGAAAGAAATCAGTGATGAAACTCTTCCAGCCAATTCATACTCAACATTAGACATTAACTTCCACTTCATTTTATAGGCCTGTAATTACCAGTGTGTCCTTAGTTAACAAAGTCATTGACAAAGAAAATCATTAGTTGTAAATAACAGTGATTTGAACTCAGGTCCTCCTGACCCCAGGACCAGTGCTCTATCCAATTCACCACCTAGGTGCTCCCTCTTTTCATCTTTACAACCACTCTGGGAGGTAGGTGTTATTATTGTTCCCATTTTACAGGTGAGGAAACTGAGGCATAGAACAGTTAAGTGACTTGCCCTACATCACATAGCTAGTTAGTATATGGGGCAGGATTTGAACTTCCATCTTTCAAATTCAAGGTCCAGCTCTCTAACCAATGCACCACCCAAAGAACTAGACCAAGCCAGAAAAATGTAGGCTTGAATCTGACTCTAGTACTTACTGTCTGTGTGATAGACATTTCTCTGGGCCTCAGTTTCTTCATATGTAAATTGAATGGGGTTGAACTAGATGAATTCAAAAGTCTCTCTAGCTCTATATCTCATATTCCTATGAGCAAGTAGCCTCCAGAGACGTGTGTAGATAAGATCATTTCTAGGGCTATTCTAGCACTACCCATAATTCCCCAAGTCCTCTTCCTATACACTGTGACTATTCAGTAAATACTTTGTATTTAGTGCTAGCACATCCTATAGCTACCTTGCCCCAGCACTGTGATACTGCCTCTCTTCTTTACATGTGAATTTGGAGGTGACCATCCATCAGGCCAAAATTCCAGAATGAGAACTCAAAGACCACTCCACTTTTCCTTCATACCTAGAAGTCAGATGCAATGGACCTTCTTGTATTCTCAAACTAGGGTTTTTCAAGCTGAGGAACAAATAGAGCATCCTGTGGAAAGTAAGAAGTAGATTCCTACAACTGTGCCCCTTCTCAAAGACAAACCACTGCCAGAAAAAATCAGCAAGAAAATTCTGCGGCAGTAGGGCTAAGTCTCAAGCTATGCCCTGGATTGCTAGGAAATTCATGCTTCATGAATTGCTAAGTAAGACAATATAAATCTGAGGTGAATGTGAAATATTTATTTAGAAGTTCCACAAAGTGTTGAAAATATATGTTAATGCATGTTCATGAGTCTTTTCCTTTAAGCAATTCTTTTGTGATTGAAAAAATAAATAGCTCTCCTATATCTGACATCTACTACTTTGTCCATTAAGTAACTTTTCTAGAAGGGATACTTTTAATCCTTTTGAGGGTAGACTCTAGATGTGAGCCATACCTAAGCTTTGTTAAAAGATATTTTCCCAGAAGCTCCACTCTGGGGTGGGAAGATAATGAGTAATAGAGTAGGAGGAAAAAAGTCTGACTTTTCTCTCTTTGGGGCCACACTTACTCCAGGATTAAATCCAGTGCATGTGAGTCTAGATCTGGAGCCCTTTTCATCTTAGGAGTCTGCATCTTGGGTCACAGGTGACAATAGAATTATCATATTTGAATATTAGAGCTGAAAGTGTCCATAAAGGTCATCTACTCCAGAGGGTGTAAAACGCCTATAGAAAGGGATCCCTGCTGAATACATACTGACTTAGAAAACCACAAGTTAACATTATCTGTTACATTGTATTTTAAATTCATTTTTGTTAAACATTCTGTTAAACATTTTGTTAAACAATTTGTTAAACATTTTGTTAATCATTTTGTTAAATATTTAAATTCATTTTGTTAAACATCTCCCAAATACATTTTATCAGTTTGACTTCCCACACTTTCATCTAATACAATCTTACATTTTCTACGTGAGAAAAACCAAGCTAGCGAGCCCAAGTGAATTGCCCAAAATTACAGAGATAAATGAGGCAGCTAGATGGCTCAGTGAATAGAGTGCTGGGCCCAGAGTCAAGAAGACCCAACTTCAAATCCAGACTCAGACACTCACTGGCTATGTGACCAGGGTTGCCTTAATCCTCTGGAAAAGGAAATGGCAAACTATTCCAGTATCTTTGCATCCCATGGACATTATGGTCCACGGGGTCATGAAGAATCAGACAAGACTGGACAAAAATAGAGATGATGGTTTAGCACAGAAACCAGAACCTAGTTTCTTGACTCTCAGGCCAGGACTTTTTCTACTAAACCACAAGGAACTGCTATAGTTTGCTCTACTCTTCCTTGGTCAGGTCCCCTGTTTGGGTGCTGAGGAACTCTGTGGGTTTACACACCCTTGGGAGGCACTCTTACTACCCAAGGTATCACCTTGTGTCCCTTGTCTCTCTCCACCACAGAAGGCTACAGCGAACACATACCTGGAGGGTGGGGCTCTCTCTTAGCTTCAGCAAGCTAATCCTCTACTGCATAGAATCTATTCTGACTCCTTACCTTGGGCCTCAACCCCTTAAGCACTCCTGGAAAGAGAATTTGGAGTGAAGAGAATATTCTCCTCAATAAATTACTACTCACTCTTATATATAGCACTTTGAAACTTTCAAAAGTTCCACCCCAGGAGTTGTCTTATACTAGTCCTCTGCAGAGAAAGATAACCTGGTCAAAACACAGAACTAGAAAGGACCTCCACAGGTCACCTGGCCCATTCCTTTGACATGAAACAGACCCCCTCTAATTTGAACTCTTCTTTAGGGATGCTAACAGCTTGACTTTAATTAGTTAGTAAATGCAACTAATCAAAGCATTTCCAGCCATTAGCAGATAATCAGTTCATTGTAATCACTGTTTAGATAGCATTAACAATGTGGAACATGGACTATAATAACACGTGTTCTCTACAGCTAAATTTGTTTGCTCTCTTCACCCCAAACCCAGCCTGATTGTGATCTCTAAGCAAAGACTGTCCTCACTTCTGCCAACCAATGGAATCAGAAGCAAGAGATAAACAGTCAACAGTACAATAGTCCACTTGTTAAATCAAGGCATTTATATTAGCAGAATTGATATCTACCCTCTGGGACCTATCTCTCAAACTACAGACAATCAGGATGAAAAAAGGAAATTAAGGCCTTTATTTTTTTTCTAGGATGAAAGATATTGCCTCTTCACCTTGAGCACTGTGAAGATTATAGTTTACTGGAGAACTTATTGGGAAAAGAAGAAAGAAAAAAGTTAGGTGTGAAGAAAGCAATGACACCAGGGACCAGCCACCGCTATTCCACTCCTCTATCCCCACCGGAAACTCTCCACTTCCCAGGAAGCTAAAAGCTTGAAATCTTTAAAAATGGTAACCAAAAAGAAACGATCTTGTCAATTGCTTACCTCTACCTTGGTCAAAGTTATGTGCTTAGGGTATAGGTTTTTTGCAACCTTTTCTCCATGCTCCGAACTGCATAGCCTGAGTACCAGCAGAAATCAGTACCTTCATTACGTTTTGTTTTCTACCCTATTTCTGTCTTAGTCTTCAAAGTCCAGCCAAAAAAGCATCTAAGATGAAATCAGTCAAAGAAATCCTGTCCTTGAGAGTTTTTTCAGGCAGCCAGACTATCACATTACAGGGATTTCTCCCCTCGTTTTTTGTAGCCCATCCCACGACCCCCATCTTAGCATCCTGATACTGTATCTCAAGCCCCCGGCTATTATTTAACTCAGAAGCTACTGGGTGGTGTTGGCCCCTCAATAGGCCTGACTTACCCTTGGCTCTGGGAAGTAACTTGAAGTTTGAGGGCAGAGAATGTGACTGCTCCTTCCAGAAACGGTAGCCTCTAGCCTTGTGCTCTCAGGCAGCAATCCTGCACTTGACCCCAGCAACAGTTATAAATGCAACTCAAGACGGAAGGGGGCGGGGAAGGGAGGGAAGGACAGGGATAAGGGGTGGGAAAAAGGTGGGGGGGTGGGGACACGCCTACTCCAGTTCCACTGTACTTCATGCTGTTATGAAAATAAAGTCCTGGTGCCAGAAAATGAACTCAAAACTTCCTGACGTAAGCTGCAGTCACCCCCGAAAGGGTGGAGATGGAACCTTATTCTTTCCCAGCCCAGTTGAATCAAGTGCGATTCATCAGGCTGGCTCCCTTCCTCTGAGGGCCGGTCACTGGGCTGGAGGTGAAAGAGTGAGGTCGTGGAACTAGCCCGAAGATAGCAATTCTTTTTATTAGTTTTCCTATAAGTAGGCGAAGAGGGAGGCAGTAAAACCCTCCAGAGTCAGTCACAGCCAGTGAGGCCCTCCCTGCATACTTCCCCAGGCTGTAGCGTTCATCCTCCCCCAAGGACACTGGTCCCTGGCAGATGCTGTACAAACATAACACTCAGGTTGTCACCCAAGCCTTTCCTGCTGTTCAGGGATTCAGAGAGGCAGAAGGGTTTAGCACGAAACGGAAAGCTGTTCCTTGGGGCATCCAATTAGTCCTATAAATTCGGGGGAGGAGGGAGGTCTTCTGGCTTTTAGGTGGGGGAGAAGTGAAGAATTTGAAATCATGCTTCAGCCAGTCTGTCTGAACTGGGAGCCAAAAGACTGAAAACCTCTGCCCTCAGTGCTTACTCCTTCCACGTGTACAGTCTCTCTTGTCATGGAGAGCTTGGCGGCTCCCACTTTTACCTCTAGCCTGGCCCATCCTATCCCTCTAGCTCTCCCTCCACCTGCACTTGAATGGAAGCCAGGGGAATTCTGAGGATGAAAGCAAGTGACCACCCTCTCTTTATTCTCCAGCAGTGAACTAAGGCAATCTTATCAGTGAGGTGCTTTGATTACCCTTCAATTCAATTCAACCAAAGGTTTAAGTAGTTTCTATACAACCGGGCATCATGCTAGATTCTGAGAATATAAAGACAAAAACAAAATTGTCACTGCCCTTGAGAAGCTTACCTTCTACTGTCTGGACAGAACATGAACACAGGCAAATATAACAGAGCATAGTAAGGAATCAGGTTACTAGACTTACCAGGAGAATGCCATGGGTGCTGTATACCTAGATTTTAGCAAGTCATTTGACAAAGTTTCAAATCAAGTCCTTGTGAAGAGGGTGGACTGCTCCATAGTGTAATTAGACACATTCAGAAGTGGTCAGAGGCAACTAGGTGGTACAGTGGATAGAGTGCCAGACCTGGAGTCAGGAACTTCCTGAATTCAAATCTGGCTTCAGACACTTACTAGCTGTCTGACTCTGAACAAGTCACTTAACGCTATTTGCCTCAGTTTCCTCATCTCTAAAATGATCTAGAGAAGGAAAGGGCAAGCCACTCCAGTACCTTTGCCAAGAAAACCCCAAATGGGGTCACGAAGAGTCAGGCAGAACTGAAATGACTGAACAACAAGAACCGGTTAAATGACCAGATGCAAATAGTATTGATTAATGTATCCATGTTGCTGGTGGAATGCCAAAGGTTCTGTCCCTATTTTCTGTTTGACATTTTTTTCTCCATAACTTGGTTGGAAAATGGGATGGGATTGGACCTCTCATTTATTTTCATTTCCCCTACCAGTGCAAGTCAGCACTTTCTCTGCAATTTTTAGTCTTAGGAAGTTGCCTAGGGGCACTAAGTTAAGTGATTTGCCCAGTGTTACACAGTGAATATATGTCAGAAGGTCAGAGGTAAGGTTTGAGCCGGGTAGGACCTGGCTCAAAAGGCCAGCTCTTTAGCCACTGGCTTGTTGCCTGTCCACTTGGTTGAAAGCTCCCACTAAAGTCTTATGCTGATGTTTTGCGGTGGCATGGAAGGGACCCTGTGTTCTAAAAGACTAAACTATCAAAGACTTCAAGTAGCAGGTCTAATGAAGGAAAAGTTGTCTACCTGAAGACAAGCCTAGAAAATTTCGGAAAGGTTTATGATTAACTTGGCTACAGGATGCTGAGTTTTACAGCCACAGGAACTCCTAAAGAGCATCTACTATATTGTAGGGGGGTTTTAATTTACGCCATTAGAAGAAATATTCACACCAAGAAAATCACAAGACCCTGAAGCATTGTAGTGGAGCAACCCTCCTCTGCAAAACCCCCCTACAACTTGTTCTCACAGGCTGAGTCCCCCAAGGGGCAAGTACTATTCCAATTTCCAAGTACTCTATGGGTCACTACTTCTAAAACTATATCTCATGAGTCTCCACTTACCCTTAAGAATCAGCCAGTAGATGCATTTAGCTCAAAACAGAAGCATCTATTAAGATGGCATTGTAAAAATAGTAGCTTCAAAGCATTCCCCCAAAAGCCTGAAACATACTCTCTACAAATACACCAACATCAATGGGAAGAGTAGACACATACCTAACATACACTAGTAGTGATCCACATTCTTAGGGGCCACATGGACCCAAGGCAACTTATTTTCAGCACTAAAGACCTCAATGTCCTTTCTCTTCCTGAGCTGTCCTTATGCCACCCTCCATGGGTACAATGTCTCTGATGGACAGATTAATCAGCTGGGATCCTTGGGTCTTCTCCTCTTGTCAGGAAAGCAGACAACAAGCATTTACTAAGCACCTGCCATGTGCCAGGCCCTGGGCTTTGTTGAAATACAAATTCAAGCAAAAAGACAGTGCCTTCCTTCAAGCAGCTTACATTCTGATGGGAGAAAACAACAGGGAGTTAGGGGCACAGAAGGTAATCCACATAGGGGCATGGTAGTAAAGTCCAGAGGGTTACGGTTGGGAAGGGAATGAGGAAAGTATGGCTAGTCTACCCCCAAAAAAATGGAGGCCCCAGAAGGAATGAAAGGAGGTCAGAATGGGGGAAGCAAGAAGCAGCTATTCCAGGAATAGAAGGTCCCAAGCACTAAGGGAAGATCTAATGTAAGGAGTCAGCTGAAGCATGGTGATGACATCCAGAAAGCTAGTTTGATTCTTAATTGTCAGGACTAATTTTCTCTTTAATCTATATCTGGCTCTCATCTCAGTGGCCAGGGTCACTCTCCTTAGAGCTGCCTCTATTGACTACTCTGCTCCCTTCTGGGTCTGGTGTGTCCTACTAAGCAAGAAACTCTACTGCAAGGTACTATAGCTGATGCAGGGGGAGGAGGAAGAGAGAGAAATCCTTTTCTCCCTCCAGTAGGAAAGCTAAATGAAAGTCAGTCCCCTCTCAGAAGCTGGGTTCTTTCACCATAGTTAACTCTCCCCTAATTTTATAGGAAGTATAGCTCTCCTGCCTCTACTGCCTTCGGAGCTAGCAAGCTAGGCTTTTAAGGCCATCAAGGATGAGGACAATCTTCAGTTAGATTAACTGACCTCTATCACAGAAAACTCCTTTATATCTGTTAAGGGGATGACAGTGCATAGACATATCTCTTCCCTTTAACAAACAAACATTTCATCATCTCTGTTACCTGTTCATTATCAAGCATGGATGATGTAGAAGCCAGAAGGTCAGAACTGACCAATTTTGTCCCATCTCCACGAAGTATTGGATAAAAGAATAGATGCCATGCTTATCAAATCTATGGATGCCACAAAGCTGGGAGGCATAGTCAACCAATTAATAACAGAGTTGAGATCCAAAAGCTAATGTGTTAAATTTCCTAATATTAAATTTAACAATAATAACATAAAGCCACATATTTGAGCACACACATGCTCAAAACCAACAGCACAAGTATAGGTTTCAAAGAGATGTTGCTAGATAATAGTTCTTGTAGGAAAAAAAAATCCTGGGTTTATTTGTGTTTTTTGAGTGATCTGAAAATTCATTGTGAGAGGCAGCATAGCATAATGAGCTGTACTCAGAGCCAAGAAGAAGAGTTCAAGTCTCTACTGGGCAAGTCATTGAAGCTCTCAGTGCCCAGGACAGCTCTCTAAGGCCCTAAGTTTCAGTCCCAGATCTAGACTCTACCCTGTCCCTGACCTAAGAGGTGTTATACTAGAACATAAATGCCATATGACCTTAGATTTAGGTCTGCAAGGAACGTCAGTTTCTATTAAGTCTAGCCACTTATTTTACACATAGCAAACTAAGACCTAAAGGGTTTAAATGATATGCCCAAGATTGCTCAGGTAACAAATGTCAGAGGTGACTCCTCTGACTCAAGAGCCAACACACTCTTGTCATTGTCTCTCATTTTCAGCTCTGAAAAACCACAAGTGGATGACACATAAAAGAATTAGGATTAGCAGGAAGTATTAGGGCCAAACCCTATTCAAACTTGTGAGCATGACTTTTTCACTGTTGCCCTGATGCCCCTACTCACAGAAGCTCATGAAACTCAATGACATTTATCTACACTGATTCTTATCCCCTTGTGGCTAAGCTATAAGCTCCTCCCGAAGTGAAAATTAGCTTATCCTATAAACCAAGTGTGCTTAATTTGTGGGAAACTTTCAGGGGCTAGCCTTTCCAGTTCTTGTCCCAGGTAACATTGTAACAATTGCTTTTTAGAGACAATGACCCCATTGTTTGGACCTGTGCGGAAATGAGCTCCCCTCTTCTCTTCTGAATAATTTACTCTTCCCTTCCCCAACTCCTTATGTTCCCTTTTCTCCTTCTCCTTGCTCTACATTCCTCTGCCTGTCCCACTCCTGCTTTTCAGTTAATCGAAAAAAGTCAAGTCTGGTGGAGAGGGGAGGCAGTGTAGGGAGAGAGATGGGGAGAGTCAGGAAGAAGAAGGAAGGAAGGAATGAAAGCAAGGAGAAACAAATGTTAGTACCTGTGGATGGTCTTTCTCCTGCCAAAGAGGTCCTAAGGCTAAAGAACCTTGAAAATCATCAGTTTAATGATCTGAAAGACAATGGAAGGATATGTGAGGAACAAGGAAATCTAGGTTTTAGTCACCACCACACCATTCTTTAGGTAAACTGCTTTGATAATGAA